ATTCTCATGCCTCAGCCTCCCGAGTAGCTGGGTTTATAGGCTTGCGTCACCACATCTAGCTAATTTTTATATTTTTAGTAGAGACAAGGTTTCACTATGTTGGCCAGGCTGGTCTCAAACTCCCGGCCTCAAATAATTCTCCTGCTTTGGCCTCCCAAAGTGCAGGATTACAGGCATGAGCCACCATGCCCGGCCTTATGTATTCTCATATACATCTCATTCTCAAGGAGTTCCTTCAGTATCCCTGACTGTTCCTTAATTTTGGACCCTCCTTTGGCAAGCTCAAGAAGCCCAATCACAGGGGAAAGAGAGAGAATGGAGCTCAGGACTTAGAGGATCCCAGAATGTAAGGTTTTATCCGCAAAACCAACTGGGCTCAATACCTTAAGGTATTAGTATAATACTTTGAGCACAGAAAGGACTGAGTCAGTCTAGCATAAGTTTAAATCGCTTACTCCAGGGAATGTAGTTGCATAGAGCTTCCCAAAAACTTGGAAGGTATGCATAAGTCACTGGAGGAGGCAGGAGTGATTTCTGTCTCTGCCTGTAGATTTCCTGCAAAGCAGTTCATTTTAAGTTAAAGATACGTGCCAGGGTCTGCACTAAGTGTTTTAGGTTTGTTATCTCGTTTATTTATTTATTTATTTAGAGATGGAGCCTCGCTCTTGTTGTGCAGGATGGAGTGCAGTGGTGCAATCTCAGCTCACTGCAGCTGCCACCACCCAGGTTCAAATGATTCTCCTGCCTCAGCCTCCCAGGTAGCTGGAAGTATAGGCACGCACCACCACGCCAGTTAATTTTTGTCTTTTTAGTAGAGACGGGGTTTCACCATATTGGCCAGGCTGGTCTCGAACTCCTGACCTCAGATGCACCACCTGCCTCGGCCTCCCAAAGTGCTGGGATTACAGGTGTGAGCCACTGCCTGGCCTCAGGTTTGTTATCTCTTTTAAGCCTCAAGAAACCTTATGAGGTAAGTATCACTGTCACATTCATACTATATTACCAAGGTTTGATGACTTGTCTAAGGTCACATACCTCGTAATAGACAATCTATCTATGCTCTTAACCACCATACTGGACAGAATCTATGCTCTTAACCACCATACTGGACAGCAATCCAGTTGTCATGCTAGTGACCCAAAAGACCATCCTTAAGGAAGAGACTCCTTCTCTTTTTTCCTCCATTACTACCAGTTACACTGAGACTTGCTCGTTTCTTCCTAATCTCTGACCTGTTTCCAGCACAGAGCTGGCCACAAAATAAGTGGGCAACACCTTACTGATTGAGTGATGGACTTGTGTCATTAAGAAACCACTGACCTGCTCTCCCCTAAAAAAAAAAAATCCCTGAAGGAAACTGGTTCTTTTGCTACTTTTTTGATTTATTTGTATATCCACCACTGGACCTAGTACGATGCCTAGCCTTTATTCATTATTCAATAATTCGTGTTCAGCATTGATTCTTTCAACAAACTTGGGTGCTCAGCTCTCTATCTGGGGGGTGTGAATTCATAAATCTTGCCACTATTAATAATAATAGTAGTAAATAACAATAGTAATAATAAAATCGCTATTAGTAATTAATCATAATAATGGTAAATTTGTGAGATCTTCATTCATAGTAATAATGATTACAATAACAGCAAACATTTATTGAGGACTTACTATGCTAGGTGCTATTAGTATTAAAGTGGCCGGGTGCAGTGGCGCCCTCCTGTAATCCCAGCACTTTGAGAGGCCAAGGTGGGTGGAGTGCTTGACTTCAGGAGTTTGAGACCCGCCAGGGCAATATGGCAAACTCCGTCTCCGTAAAAAATACAAAAATTAGCCAGGTGTGATAGTTAATCAGGTGTGATAATAATCAGTCCCAGCTACTCGAGAGGCTGAGGTGGGAGGATCGCTTGAGTCCAGGAGGTCAAGGCTGCAGTGAGCCGAGATCATACACTGCACTCCAGTTGGGGTGACAGAGCAAGAACCTGCCTCAAAAAAAAATTTTTTAAGTATTTTTTCTATCTTGAACACTTCATTTTCTGTGTTTTAGATAAGACATGACACCATTTAATTCTTAACCCTATAATTCCAAAAATGTCAGTATCTACTTACTCAAGTGAGGAGAGCTGAGTGGCCAGTGTTTGGGCCATAAATTTCTGAAATAGGATGTTCACTGATCCCTTACAACTGTAAACAGGGCAAGCTTGGTCTCTGCTCTGGGAAAATATAAACAGAACCACCTCTGAATCAAAAACATTTCTTATCCTTTTACAGGATCATTGTAAGGACTAAGAAACAAAATCTTCCTGTTACCAGGAATCAATGGGTTGGCTTCCATCATTAAAACTTTGTTTCTTGCTTCATGTTCTATGAATATTTAAGCAGCATCCAACTACTTATTGTTCCTAAAAATGCTTCTGATATTTTCATTCTCCAGATTGTGTATCTTTTTACCTATCCCGGGTTGTTGTTTCCCCCACACCCCCCAACCCCCCACTGAGTGAACTATTCCTCTTTCTACAGCCTAACTCGAATATCTTATTAGTGAAGGCATACCAAACTGGGCAGTTGCACTTTGTTTTGTTTTTTGCTTGTTTGTTTGTTTTTGGTATAAAAAGAAAGACAGATTGCTTCTTCTTTTGGGCTCAATAACTTCTTTATTTTCCCTCTCTACTCCCCCAGTAGTCTGTGAGCTCCTGATGATGGGGAAGGGCAGGGACTGTGTCTTATTAAGCTGTCTGGTCCCCAGCTACCAGCACAAGACCTGCCATATAATATTATTGTAGCTAATATTCATTAAACACTGTGCTAATATTCATTAAACAAGTTTAAAGAAACGCTGTTCATTAAACTTGTTCTCCCAACAAGTTTGTGAGGTAGGTACCATTCTTACCCATCCCAATTTTTACATATGAGGTAAATTCATGTATTAAAAAGCTGGCCAGGCTCTGTGGCTCACACCCGTAATCCCTGCATGTTAGGAGGCTGAGGCGGGAGGATTGTTTGAGCCCAGGAGTTTGAAACCAGCCTGGTTTTTTTTAATATAGACAGAATCTCCCTCTGTTGTTCAGGCCAAAGTGCAGTGGCATAATCACAGCTCACTGCAACCTCTGACTCCTAGGTTCAAGCATCCTCCCACCTCAGCTAAGACTACAGATATGTGCCACTGTGCTTGACTAATATATATATATATATATATATATATATATACACACATATATATGTGTGTATATATATATGTATATGTGTGTATACATATATACATATATATATACATATATCTCTCTGTAGAGAGAGAGAGAGAGAGAGAGATGGGTTTTGCCATGTTGCTCAGGCTAGTCTCAAACTACTGCCCTCAAGATATCCTCCCATCTCCATCTTCCAAAGTGCTAGGATTACAGACATGAGCTACCACACTCAGCCTCCCTTTACACTTTTTAAATTCTGGATGTATTTCTAAAAATTCAGAAATGTTAAAACCAAAAATCTGATATATTGTTGATGTTTTAGTACATAAAGCTTTCAACTTACAAAAAATACAACTGTGTGCATAACCTCATTTAGATGTAAATTTAGAAAATAAGTTTCATACTCTTCCTGAAAGGTTCTTCTAGCTATCTATCTCTGCAATAGGGTCTGTGAATTACAGAAAATTATCTGCTGTCATGGCTGGTTACTGTCTGGCTACCTTGAGGATGGGTACTATATTTCAATTCTGTGATCCCAGCACAATGCCCAGGGTCTAATAAACATTCAATGAACATTTCTTGAATGACTGTATAGGGCAACCACTTTTGGTCTCAGGGTTCCCTTACACTCTTAAAAATTATTGAGGTTAGTCTGAGTGCAGTAGTGTTTACAACTAACTGATCACCACCAGTTACAGATCTTCTTTATTTCTTCTCCACTCTCACTGCTTCACTTGGCTAGCCCTTAAAAAATAAAAATGGGCCGGGCGCAGTGGCTCATGCCTATAATCCCAGCACTTTGGGAGGCCAAGGAGGGCGGATTGCTTGAGCTCAGGAGTTCAAGACCAGCCTGAGCAACATAGTAAAACTCTGTCTCTACTAAAAATACAAAAAATTAGCCGGGCATGGTGGCGCGCACCTGAGGTCCCAACTACTAGGGAGGCTGAGGCAAGAGAATCTCTTGAGCTCCGGAAGTTGAGGCTGCAGTGAGTCGAGGCTGTAATTGCGCCACTGCACTCCAGCCTGGGCGACAGACCGAGACTCTGTCTCAAAAATAAATAAATAAATAAATAAATAAAGAGTGAAACCAACACCACAGGGATAGACTTCTTTTTTTTTTTTTTTTTTGAGACGGAGTTTCACTCTTGTTACCCAGGCTGGAGTGCAATGGCGCGATCTCGGCTCACCGCAACCTCCGCCTCCTGGGCTCAGGCAATTCTCCTGCCTCAACCTCTTGAGTAGCTGGGATTACAGGCACGCGCCACCATGCCCAGTTAATGTTTTGTATTTTTAGTAGAGACGGGGTTTCACCATGTTGACCAGGATGGTCTCGATCTCTTGACCTCGTGATCCACCCGCCTCGGCCTCCCAAAGTGCTGGGATTACAGGCTTGAGCCACCGCGCCCGGCTTAGACTTCTTTTTTTTTTTTTTTTTTGAGACGGAGTTTCACTCATGTTATCCAGGCTGGAGTGCAATGGCGCGATCTCGACTCACCGGAACCTCCGCCTCCTGGGTTCAGGCAATTTTCCTGCCTCAGCCTCCTGAGTAGCTGGGATTACAGGCACGCACCACCATGCCCAGCTAATTTTTTGTATTTTTAGTAGAGACGGGGTTTCACCGTGGAGCACGAGGTCAAGAGATCAAGACCATCCTGGCTTAGACTTCTTTTTGTCCTTTTTTTTCCTCTTGTGAAGAGTAACGCGGAGTCTTGCCGTAACACAAGATGGCAACCTTCTCTCAAATGTCACTCCGTACAATGACGTCAGACAGCGACCGTGCCTTTTCTTCCTGAGAATTTCCACTACATTTCCCAGGATGCTTTGCCAATAGCGACGCCCTTAGTCGTCATAGACGGAAGTGCACCTGACTGAGCGGAAGTAGAAGATCTCGGAGGCTAAGAAGGTGGAGACTGGAGAAGCTGAAAGGTTGTGAGTAACCCCGTGGGTCTAAGCGTCTTGGCTGCTAGGAACGAAGTTAGGGAATAATCTGCTGGGAAGCGCGAGGCGTCACTTCGCTAACCCTAGGAATTCAAACTCTTGTGTTCTTCTAGTAGACCTGGGAACAAAGAGAAACAAGACATTGCTGTGGAGGCTAAGTGTCCGTATTAACACCTTGCTGGTTTTTAAGTTTTCTTGGAATAAATTAGGGCGAATTCGGACTCCTGTCGTGACACAAGGGTCGTTGGCGTGATTTTGCTGCAACTAGAGCAATTTACATTTTTGCAAATCTCTAGCTGCTGATGGTCTGACTCAGCTTCTACAGCAGTGGCTCGCAATTGGCTGCACATTAGAATCACCTGGGATGCTTAAAAAAAAAAAAAAATGATGCTCTTGCTTGACGCCACACTAATAAATCAGAGTCTGGTCAGGTTCTGAGCGGTGGTATTTTCTAAAGCATCTCTAATGTTCTCTTTGGCTGCTGAGGTTCACAGTCACTCTTTCTAATGCTTGACTCTGACCTCCATGGTGATCCTGATTAGAGTCACCTGCGCCAGGGCTCCCATTCCACTGTAAGCTGCGTGGGCTCTACCACACGCATTTGGGTTAAAGTGAACACAATTTTGGCACGGATTTTATTTTGAGGTCCACTAGAAACGTATTCTTGGGCTTCCTGCGGTGGTGCTAAAAAGACGGATCGTAATTTCTTACTCATGCCTTGGTTATTCTGAATGGAGATTAGAGCTGCTTCCTTTTCCTTGTCACTGTGTTAGTTTCTGCCTAATTTTTGCTATCCAAACAGAACGCGAACAGTGGAACATGGAAGAGTCACATTAAAAACGGCTTCTTTTGTTGCTTATAAGAAGTTCTGGGTAAGGCTCGGTGGCTTACGCCTATAATCCCAACACTTTGGGAGGCCGAGGAGGGTGGATCACGAGGTCAGGAGTTCAAGACCAGCCTGGCCAAGATAGTGAAACCTTCTCTCTACTAAAACTACAAAAATTAGCTGGGCACGGTGGCAGTTGCCTGTAATCCCAACTACTCGGGACGTTGAGGCAGGAGAATCGTTTGAACCCGGGCAGCAGAGGTTGCAGTGAGCTGAGATCGGACCACTGCACTCCAGCCTGGGTGACGGAGTGAGACTGTGTCTCAAAAAAGTAAAGAAATGGCCGGGCGCGGTGGCTCAAGCCTGTAATCCCAGCACTTTGGGAGGCCAAGGCGGGTGGATCACGAGGTCAAGAGATCGAGACCATCCTGGTCAACAAGGTGAAACCTCATCTTTACTAAAAATACAAAAATTAGCTGGGCATGATGGTGCATGCCTGTAGTCCCAGCTACTCGGGAGGCTGAGGCCGGAGAATTGCTTGAACCCAGGAGGCGAAGGTTGCGGTGAGCCGAGATCGTGCCATTGCACTCCAGCCTGGGCAACAACAGCAAAACTCCGTCTCAAAAAAAATAAAAATAAAAAAAAATAATAAAAATAAAGAAGTTCTGGTACCAGATTTGACCAGGAAAGGGGTGTCAGTTAAAATGACGTTTGACATCATTATTACTTACAATAAGCTATATTTTTAAATAATGAATTCCAGTGAAATGAGGTTAGGGTGTTTTTTGGCTGTGATGTAGAGGTTTGTTTAGGTTTGAAACAGACCTTTTAAAATATGAGCACCATTACATAGCAGTTGTTTTCTTTTGTTTTCCCCCAGCTTTAGCGTCACCTCCCTCACTGGGCAGCATGGGGGAGAAGTCAGAGAACTGTAGGGTTCCAGAGGATCTGTTCAATGGTTTGAAGGTTTCAGATATTCAGGAAGCCGAGTGTGCTGGCCCTCCAGTTCCTGATCCCAAAAATCAGCATTCCCAGAGTAAGCCGCTCAGGGGTGATGAGGCCCATCTCCAGGAGGACCAGGGAGAAGAGGAGTGTTTTCATGACTGCAGTGCCTCATTTGAGGAGGAGGCGGGAGCAGACAAGGTTGAAAACAAATCTAATGAAGATGTGAATTCCTGTGAACTAGATGAAGAATACCTAATGGAACTGGAAAAAAACATGTCAGATGAAGAGAAACAGGTAAGTATTTTGTTTCTTGTGGAAGATCTGCTACTTTCACTGCATTTTAAAATAATGTGGTTGGTACTGCATCATAGACCACTGCATCTGTGGTAAAGAATAACTTGCCCCTTTGTCATCTTATTGTTTTAGTAGTGATGAATCTGAGATAAATCAGTAGCATAACAGGGAAGCACTGAGTGTGTCTGCTTAGCAAAGAAATTTTCATTCTTTTCTGTGAACCTTGAGTTCTATGTTCATCTTATACTTCAGTAGTCTAACGTAAGAGTCCTTTTGTTTCATTATTTTCAAAATGTATACATCCTTTTTAGTTTTCTATTATGACCTTTTCTGTGGTTGGCTGCTGAAATTTCTGTAACGAACATTTTTATGTTTATGCCACATTATATTTATGCTACATTTATGCTTATGAACATTTCCTGTTTATGCTTATCCCTTATTAGCAAAATACGACTGCCTGAATATCTTGGTGGAGTTTGGGTTGCAGAGATCTTGAGGAACATAATCATGTTTGATTATAGCTAGCTGTTGTTTGTTGAAAGCCTGCAATGTGCCATCCACTGACTTAAAATGTTACTTGTGTTTTTGTTGATTTTCACAACATGCCTGAGATACACACTTAGCATTTCCCATAAGGAAACAGCTTAAGAGTGGTGAAGTAACTAGCCCAAAATCAAACACCTAATGAATTGCAGAACTAATTCTCAAATCAAATCTGTTTGATTCCAAAGCCAGAGTATAATGTAGAATGTAATAACAAAAACATCTGTCTTTCTACAAAGCAGATAAACTAATAAAATGTACAGTCTCCTGCTTCTTTTCTCTGGGGCTACACCCTTAACTGGGCAGCCCTTCACTTTTGGAGACATCTGCTGTCCTACTTCCTTCTGCTTGCACAAGCTAGGTAGTCTATGGAGAGTCACTGTAATATCTTGAGTTTGTCTACAAAGAACTTGAACAAGATTGTAGTTTCTACCACTAACAAGCTTACTCACTGAACAGGTTGTGATACATTGGTAATGAGTTGAGATCATAAACGTGCAGCCTAAGCCTAACAGTGGGGGTGGGAAAGTCCTGGGGTGGGAAGGAGCGTCTTCTCTTTCCTCTCTCCTTGGCATTTTTGATTATCAAATCAGTTAGCTTTATGTGAACTTACTCGCTTTTGTGCTAGTGTCTGCCACCAGAACAGGAGGAAAAAGGGTAAAAATGAGCCAAGTTTATAAACTGCCAAAGCAAATACAGCTCAAAAAAATTAAATACTGTTCCATAACATTATAGCAGGTTTCAGTCTTTTTAGAAACACTGATTATGCATCTATGTTAAAAATTTAGCACTGCTTTTCTGATACCTTAATGTATTTTACCCTGAAATCATAACAAATTTTCTAGTGCCCTCTGGATTTGACAGTTGAATGGTTTGGCTCAAGGTGTCACAAAGTCTGATCCCCACCTCTAATTTAGTAAAACTTTTTTTGTTATTTTTGTATCCTAGATCAGAAAATCATACTTTTAGGGTCTATAAATTTTTTTAAAATTTTTTTTTTTTTTTTTTTTTTTTTTTTTTTTCTTTTTGCAACAGGATCTCACTCTGTTACCCAGGCTGGATGGGCTCAAATGGATCCTCCTACCTCAGCCTCCTGAGTAGCTGGGACAACAGGCATGCCCTACCCTGGCTGGCTAATTTTTGTAGGTTTTTTGGTAGAAGCAATGTCTCACTACATTGCCCAGGCTGGCCTCCATCTCCTGGGCTCAAGCCTCCCAATTTGGCCTCCCAGAGTGCTGGGATTACAGGCATGAACCAGCACACCCAGCCAGGATAATTATTTTTATTGCCTGTAAGTTTAATATTCTAGGTAGAACAATACATTTTTTCACTTTTTTCCCTCCTTTTAAAAATTGAGATATCATTTAGTGAAACACTATGTCAGGACTAATGTGTAGAATTCAGTGAGTTTTGACAATCATATACACCTGTGTAACTCGCATTTCTATGAAGATAGAGAACATTTACCTCATGTCAGAAACTGGATTTGTGTGCTTTATCAGTCATTCCTTTCCCAACCCCACCAGTCTCTGGTTAACCACTGTTCTGATTCCTATCTCATAGGTGGCTTTTTCCTGATCCAGACTTGTATATAAATATAATTATACAGTAGTATTCATATTTAAAACATAAATATTTTCTATTATTTTATACATATCAGTCGAAGTGTTTTCATAGCTGAATTTGAAAATTTGTATGAATAGCTCATAACAGTAACATACTGTAGTGCTAGTCCTGTTATTTAGAGAAATGTAAGCCACTAACTCCACTTTAAGGAAACAACCTATGAGAGTACAAATTGCCTTCAGCTAATTGTGGTACTTACTCTATTAGCTGTTTTCATGCTATTTTGATAAATATCTTTCTGAAATTTTCAAGAAGCCAGCAAAATAGGTGAAGAAATGTCTTCTGCATATGGTTTGGGTTTAATAGGTCATTAGGAACAGGATAGTTTTACATTTGAATCTTTCTTAACAGATAAAAGTTCAGATAGTTAACAACAAAAAAACACAAATAGGCTGGGTGCAGTGGCTCACGCCTGTAATCCCAGCACTTTGGGAGGCTGAGGCAGGCAGATCACCTGAGGTTGAGAATTTGAGACCAGCGTGACCAACACAGAGAAACCCCATCTCTACTAAAAATACAAAATTAGTCAGGCATGGTGGTGCATGCCTGTAATCCCAGCTACTTGGGAGGCTGAGGCAGGAGAATCACTTGAGCCTGGGAACCTGAGGCTGCAGATTGCGCCATTGTAATCCAGCCTGGGCAATAAGAGCGAAACTTCATCTCAAAAAAAAAACACAAATGACCAAAAAATGTAAAAAGACTTTCAGCCTCATTAATAATAATAAATAATACAAACTAAAACATTATGTCTAATCTGTCAGATCAGAGCACTGATCTGATGGTGACAAGGAGAGGATATTGGAACTCATATATTAATACTGTGAATTTAAATTGTTATGTTACTGCATGGGATGTAGATACCAAATTTTTATATGAACATTTCTTTAGATAGGGCTATCAATGGGCTCTTCTGCTATGATAGGAACGTTCTACATCTGCACCACACGGTAAGGTAGCTGCTGACTACATCAGGCTGTTGAGCACTTAAATGTGGCTATTACAGCTGAAGAACTGGATTTTACATAACTAATTTAAATACTCACACGGGGTGGCTCACACCTGTAATCCCAGCACTTTGGGAGGCTAAGGCGGGCAGTTCACCAGAGGTAAGGAATTTGAGACCAGCCTGGCCAACATGGTGAAACCCCATCTCTACCAAAAATACAAAAATTAGCCAGGCCTGGTGGCAGGCGCCTGTAATCCCAGCTACTCGGGAGGTTGAGGCAGGAGAATTGCTTGAAACCAGGAGGTGGAGATTGCAGTGAGCCAAGATCACACCCCTGCATTCCTGCCTGGCAGGCAAGAACAAGACTCCATCTCAGAAAATAAATAAAAAGTCACACGGGCCAGGGACAGTGGCTCATTCCTATAATCCCAGCACTTGGGAGGCTGAGGCTGGAGGAGTACTTGAACCCAAGAGTTTGAGACCAGCCTGGGCAACATAGTGAGACCCTGCCTCTCAAAAAAAAATTTTTTTAAGCCTTTAAAAAAATAATAACCACATGTTTACAAGCCTATAGCCCCACCACTCAGGAGGCCGAGGCAGGAGGATCCCTGGAGCCTGGGAGTTTGAGGCTGCAGTGAGCCATGATCATGCCATTGCACTCCAGCCTGTGCAACAGAGTGAGACCTTGTCTCAAAATGAATAAATAAATAATTTTAATTAAAATAGTCATATGTGCCTAATAACTATCATACTGGACATGACAGCATTAACACTGATTCTCTTGTAGCCATTTATTCAAGGAAATTGTTAGAAATATGCACAAATGTATATACATAGATGTATTGTAGCATCATTCATAATTTTAGAAAGCTAGACAATGTTAAACAGGGTATTTGTAGTATAGTAAATATATTTGGTCTTTGTCCCTGGTTCCTGTCACAAAGCCCCTAAAACCCTTGGAATTTTGTGATAATGTATCTTTTGTTATTCTTAATGCACCCCTTTTGATAACACCTGAGTTCATCCTAATGAGTTAACTTTTAGGGTGTGGCCTATCAATAGCCTAAGGATGGAGCCAGTCACCAAAAAGACCAAGTGATTAGAGGTTTAGAGGGTTGGAACTTTTGGCACTATCTACCAAACTCCAGAAAAGGAAGAGGGCAAGTGCTGGATGGAGATTAAGCTCCATAAAACCTTTTTTCTTTTTGTGTTTTGAGCCGTCTTGCTGTGTTGCTGTTGTATTGGATCGAGCGTAGAAAGTTAGCACCAAGACAAAAGTATGCCAGATTGCAGGGTCATTTATTATGCCGGCGACCACAGAGGACTCGTGTCTCTCCAACCTGTGGCGTCAAAAGGAGGGTGCCAAGACTTTTTATACCCGAAAAACCACCTTGGGAGTGAGGGTGAGGAGTGGGGATGGGGATGAAAAGGTTTTGGACATTCCAAGGGCTAGGGGATTCTGTGATTCACCTCCTGGGCGGAGACGAGGGCGGGGGTCTCCGGACATTCCAAGGGCCACGGGACTTTTGTCATTCTGTTTGTTACTTCAGTGGTTTACAGAAGTCAAGATAAGCATTTGTTTACACACAGATCTTAGTTATCCTGGGCTGCTTATTTTAGTTATTACTAAATAACTAAAGCAAAGGCTAGCAATTCTGGCACAATATCACATTGCCCAGGCTGGAATGCAAAGGTGCGATCATAGCTCACTGCAGCCTTTGACCTCCTGGGCTCAAGCAGTCCTCCTACATCAGTGTCCCAAGTAGCTGGGACCATAGGCGCCCGCCAAGACACCTGGCTAATTTTGTTTGTATTTGAAATGAGGTCTCACTATGTTGCCCAGGCTGGTCTCGAACTGCTGGGCTCAAGCAATATTCCCTTATCA